GGTACCAACTCGATGGCACCTAACAACAACCGTGGACATTATTCTTATTTTGTAGACAGGAAAACTTAGGGAGCTTACACACTTTGCCTAAGGCCTCAAAAACCACATGATAAGTACAAATAATTATGTTTTAAAACTCTATAAAGTTTTTCTCTTAATAGTTTCATAGTTCTCTACTTCACATTGACATCATATAGAAGACAGTTAGCATATTGGAATGATATTAAACCAAATAGCAAGAGAACATAAATATTTGTTTGGTGCAAACTTTATTCTTATATACTTCAATATTGCTTCCAAAATATCAATTTTAAGTTTTAATCCATACCGATTTTTTTTTTAATGGGAGTCATATGTTTTAAACCTTCACTTTTCATAGTCTGCACATACAGGTACATGAATTCAGGAGTGGAGGGATAAAGGGGAATAGAAAATGGCAATGGCAGCTCTGAAGGTTAATGAGCTGAACTACAAGGATGATTTGAACTGCATTGTTGATGGTTCAAGCTTACCAGTTGCTCCTCAGAAACCCTATACAGGGTTGCTATGAGTTGGAACCCACTCAAAGGCACTTAACAACAATAACAACAACAATGAACATAGGAACCTCAAGGGAAAACTCATGATTTGCTCACCTACCTGATAGATAACAAGCTTTTTTTTTTTTAAACAAAAAGGCAAACACATTTGGAAAGAACATGAAATCATTATTGTTGTTAGGTGTCATTGAGTCAATTCCGACTCATAGATACCCAGTGCACAACATAACAAAACACTGCCCAGTCCTGAGCCATCCTCACAATTGTTATGCTTCAGTCCATTGCTGTTGCCACTGTACCAATCCAATTCATTGGATGTCTTCTTTTTTCACTGACCACTTTACTAGGGCTCCTGTGTGGTGCTGTAGGATCAACACTTGACTGTGAACCACAAGTTCAGCAGTTCAAACTCCCCAGTTGCTCCTTGGAAACCCTGTACAGGGTCTCTATGAGCCAGAATCAGCTCAACAGCACTTAACAATGATTACCACTTTACTAGGTATGTTGCCTTTCTCCAGGGACTGGTTCCTCCTAATAACATGTCTGAAGTTTGAGAGATGGAGTTTTGCCATCCTGGCTTCTAAGAAGTGTTCTGACTGCAAGAACATGTCAGATTTCTTTGTCCTTTTGGCAGGCCATGATACTTTTAATATTCTTCCCTAACATCATAATTGAAATTAATCGTTTTTCTCTGGTTTTCCTTATTCTTTGTCCAATTTTTGCTTGCATATGAGGCAATTGAAAATAGCATGCACTTTAGTCCTCAAACAGGTCTGTTTGCTGCTCTTTAATACTTTAAAGAGATCTTTTTCAGCATATTTGCCTAAAGCAATGCATTGTTTGATTTCTTGACTGCTGCTTTATGTATCCAAAAGCAAACTGGAGTATGTGACAACTTTGATTTTTTTCTCAATTTATTGTTATGCTATTTATTGGTTCCATTGTGAAGATTTTCATTTTCTTTATAGCGAAGTGCAATCCATACTGACAACTGTAGTCTTTGATTTTCATCAGTATTTTAAGTCCTCTTTGATTCCAGCAAGCAAGATTGTATCATCTGCATATCAAGGTTGTTCTTGAATCTTCCTCTACGCCTGATGCAATATTTTTCATAAAATTCAGCTTCTCAGAGTATTTGATCAGTACACAGATTGAATGACTGTGGTGAAACAATACCACCCTGACATGCACCTTTTCTTATTTTAAATCATTCAGTATCCCCTTGCTCTGTTCTAACAACTGCTTTTTGGTCTATGTACCGGTTTTTCTTGAGCACAATTATGTGTTCTGGAATATCCATTTGTCACAATGTTACCTATAATTTGCCATGATCCATAGAGTTGAAAGCCTTTGCATAGTCAATAAAACATAAGTACACATGTTTCCAGTATTCTTTGATTTCAGCCAAGATCCATCTGATGTCAGCAATATCTCAGTTCCATGTCCTCTTCTGAGTCTGGCTTGAATTTGTCAGTTCCCTGCTGAAATACTGTTGCAATTTTTAAAAAATGAATTTCAGCAAACTTCTACTTGCATGTGATATTAATGACATTGTTCAATGATTTATGTATTCAGTTTGGTCACCTTTCTTAGGAATGGACACAGATAGGAATCTCTTCCGATCAATGGGCCAGGTTTTCGAATTTCTTGGCATAGATGACGTTTTTAATTACTGACAAGAATTAAATTACTTTATTCATATTGCTTTCTTGAAATTGCTTGCTAAGACCAATTTCATTAAGCAGTCAAATTTTGATTATGAAAGTGGTGATAGTATCTTTAGAGTATGGAGTATACTGAGGGAAGTTTTGATAGTTTTCATTTCTTAGCTCAACTTTCTAAGCCTTAGTTTTTTCATCTTCAAAATGAGGATCATGATAGCTACATCATTCAGTTTTTGTGAGGATGCAAGTAACCAATATGTATGTAAAACATTTAGCATTGTGTTGTTAACCCTTGTTATTTGAGGAGTAAGAAAAACCTAATCAAAACCAAATCTGTTGCCATAGAGTTGATTCTGACTCATGGTGACCCCATGTGTTACAGCGTAGAACTTCTCCATGGTTTTTTCTTGGCAATAATCTCTAAGCAAACAGTTCTGTAGGCCTTCCTTCCATGGGTCTGCTGAATTGGTTGGGATTGCCAACCTTTAGGTTAGCAACAAAGGTTAGCAACTGATTGTAAACCGCTAGCACCACTCTAGAACCTTAAAGTGGTGGTAGAGAGATACTCAAGAATGCTGAGAACATGAAATTGTGAGTGGGGTGGGATGAGAAATATAGGAAAGACTCTATAAAGTATAGGGGAAAAATGAAATAGTTGAAAAGATCAATGTTTCTTGTGCTAACTCCAACTTCAGAAAATGATAGAAAACACTATTTTATTTTCCTCAATTCCATTTTATTTCTGTGTTCTTTGAACCCAGGATTTAGGCTACTTATATTATGGTTGCAACAAGCTTTTATAAAATAATTTGGGAACAAAGCTACTATAGCTTTAAAATTTAGAATGCAAAGAGTCCTCTTGCATCCCCAACCCCCATCAAAAAATCTTTCACATAATCGAATGTACATAAACTTTGGGAATACATGCTCATAATTAAGAACTGTCATTATGGATCCCAGAAAGGTGAATAACCCTATACAGGATTGCTATGAGTCAGAATTGACTCGATGCCTCTTAACAACAACAACATGTATAATTAAGATGACTTACTGTATCATTTTGCATGTAATTATAACTAGAGACACATTATTACAATGTTCATATAAAACCACAGCCACATGTAAATTAGTCCACCCATATATATGAAGATCAAGAATAAATCATGATAAATAATTCACAGAGCCAAAATATTATACAATTTTTATTTGAAATTCTTTTCACTTCTGTATTTTAATAAGACCATAAAATGTATCGCTTATAGTAAAGTACTACTATTTAATAGTAAATATTTTTTATTCAATTATATCATTATTCAAAGTTAGAAGTACATTTTGGGTTATAACATGGAAAGGTAAAAAATAACTGAATATAAAGGTATAAATAATTGTGCATGAATGAGTCTTGATCTTACTACCAGTTTACAGTTTTGTGACTTTGGTGAGGTTTTAGCTTCTCTGAACTTCAGTTCAATTTCTGTAAACTGGCTGATAATGCCATCCTTCCTGGTTTGTAATGAGGATATGAAATAGATGGATCATAGTACGTGCTCAATTAATGTCAGTTTCCTCCTTGCTGCTTAGATTTTTACTACATATTGAGAGTGGTGCATCTTATGGAAATATTCTCTGTTATTCATGGGCTATGATTATAACTATGTAAAATTTTGATTAATATAGAGTTTTCAGATCTTTGACCCAGCTCAAGACAAAGCACAGTATATAGTCTGTTTAACAAAAATTTGTTATGAACAATTAACAGACAGCTGATTCTCCTTTTACTAAGCACTCAGTAGGTGCTGTTAAGTGGTACCAATAACACAGTTCCTGTTACAGCATCTCATAATTTAATGAATTCTCTATGACATCACATAGTTAATACAAAGCTTTGTGGTGTAAACTACACAAAAATATGTTGACACAGAAGAGTTTCAAGCTTTTAATGAGCTTGATTTTTAATTATATTTATGATAGTCATGTCAGATAGAGGAAGTAGAGAAGTTTGAAGAGGGATGGATGTATCTCCAAGAACTTCATTTATGAGTGCAGATTTCCCCCTCATCTCATTATTTCGGTTTTATTTTGCCCAGGTAGAAGCATTATACATGTATAACTATTTTTTCTCTATCTGCAAGAATTTATATACAATTTCACCCAAAAGTTCAAAATTTTCTTCTAGGTAGATCTAGTTGGTAAAGTCCTGACTAATAGTGACCCTGTATAGGGTTTCCGAGAAACAGCTGGTGTGTTTGAACTGCCGATCTTGTGGTTCACAGTCTAGTGCTTATCCTACAGCACCACACCAGGAGTCTCTCTCTCTCTCTCTCTCTCTCTCTCTATCTATATATGTATTGTTGAGTGCCTTCTAGTCAGTTCCAAATCATAGTGACTCTGTATAGGTTTGAAATCAGTCTTTTCTTTTTTATTCAAACCAAAGGTTTCACATATTTATTAGCCACCCTCTTTAAATGCAGACGCATAAAAATAAAGGAAGAAACCAGAAGTTTTGCACAGCATGTTCAATTGATCCAATCTTGGCCAATTGAACTTGATATGGTAGTGCTAGGACCGGGGTCTATTATTACTGTGTCTTCACATGTGGACTCCTTAGAGACCCAGCTTGGTTCTTCTCCAGTGTCTTCTCTTGGAGTTGTATCTGTTTTCATTCAAATCCATTGGGGGAATGGGACGATTCTGCTTTTCTTTCTTGGCCAGGAATCTCTTGATCCTGAAAGTCTTATGAGAAGACATAGTGAAGATGGAACGTAGCAGCAGTCACTGTGGTTTAAAAAGGAAGAGCTTTTCTGAATTTTGTTTTAATAAAGACCCCAGTGAATGAAATCACAGATCTCCTAAAGAATGATTTTAGATTCTAATCACTTGTTATAAATATTTATTGTTGCTTATTAAATTTAACAAGGAGCCTTGCTGGTGCTGTGGTTAAGCACTCAGCTGCTAACCAAAAGACTGGCAATTCATACCCACCCAGTGGCTCAGTAAAAGAAAAGCTTGGAAATCTAACTCTATAAAGGTTATTGTTGTTGCTTAGTGCCAGTGAGTCTGTTCCAACTCATAGTGATCCTATGTAGGGTTTCCAAGGAGTAACTGGTGGATTTGAACTGCTGACTTTGTACTTCAAACCAACTGTGCAATCCAGTGCTTAACATACAGTGTCACACTGGGACTCCTCTGAGAAATGGTGAGGCAGTTCTACTCTGTTACATGGGATCGTTATGTGACATAACTAGATGACACCCAACAACATTAAATTTAACAGTTTGAAATTAATTTATGTAGGTCATGGAACATATACCAAAAACCTCCACAGAATTGATTCTGACTCATGTTGTTGCCATTAGGTATTGTTAAGTCAATTCCAACTCATAGCTACCCTATACAGGGTTTCTGAGGCTGTAAATCTTTCAAGGGAGCAGAAAGCCTCATCCTTCTCCCATTGAGTGACTGGTGTGTTTGAGCTGCTGACTTTACTCTTAGCAGTCCAGTGCTTATCCTGCAGCACCACCAAGGTTCCTTAATGGAACTTATAGACTTCCGTCTTTCAGAAGTATATTGCTAACAGTATTATACTGATTCATCTTTAGGCAATCCAGTGGTGTGAAGACTTTCAGCAATTGCAGCTTGAATGACTTTGGAAATTTTATTTCTAATATGGGTGCCAGATGTCTTCAGAATAAGCCACAAATGCAAGTAAAGCCTGCAGCCTGTGGCAACGGCATTGAGGATCAAAATGAAATCTGTGACTGTGGTTCTAAGGAAGTAAGTCTGGTAACTAGAAAAATTGACTAATAATAGCTTTATTGTTTGAATTTGCCTTTTTTAAAATCATAAATGTTAGATATCTAATATGTGACTGAGTATCATGCAGCCTATTGAAGCTAAGTGGTATCAAATTGAAGTATATACAAGATTATACTGTCTAGATCTTATAGGTTGAAGAATTTTGAAGAAATTTAAAATATACTGCAAATAACTACTGTTGATAAGAAAAAATGAGCTTTTGGGTTTCAGACTAAATATATAAGTTCTTTAAGAACATTTGCTTAACTTTTGAACATTTGATAAAATATTTTATTGAAGGTGAATGAATGAGTTAACAGTTCATCAAGTACCCCTTAGGTTATTACTCCATAATGGGATCAGTAGTAATGTAAGGGAATCTGTGTTAGTATTGCAACCTATACATTGAGTTATTTTGAGTAGTCACTTGATAGGGAAGGCCAAGAAATACAATGAATGCAAAAAATCTAGATACTTCTCAATAACTCAATATTTGGAGGATTATAGCAGATATCATGATTTTAAGGCAGAAACAGTATTAGAATTTGATAGAAACATAGGTCTGAATGTATTTGTACTCATATCACAGTTTTATTTATTACTATATTTTCACATTTAATAGAATATGTCAACCCTCTGTACTCTTTGTTTTTTAAAGTTTTTATTGTGAATTGACTGAAAGTTTACAGTTTTGCATCCAACAAATCATATACTTTGTTTCATTACAATGATTATAATCCTCTCCATGTACCATCAGTTAACAGTATTTCTCTCTGTTCATTTTAGCTCTCTTTTAAACACTCTGGCATATAAAATAATTTAAATCACCAAAGGGCACATTCTGCAAGATTGCCTCCTGGCCGCCAGTTCTCAGTCCCTCTAACTCTATGAATTTAGATTCCTCAGCTCATGTCCCCATCTCTGCCTCCATCTCTGGTATCGTTGCTTCTCTGAATAGGGTCCTGTATTCCGCTTGTGCTCTCTCCTTGATGGTCCTAGGGTCTGTTTCTGGACTGTAAGATTAACTACTCCCCCGTTTTTGTTACAAATCTTCTACCTTTACAGTTGTGGCACTTGCAATTTGTTATGATAACAATTAGTCAATATTGAATCATAAGAATCTTATCCCATCTCTTTTCACCAGAACCCTCTAGTCAAAATTAAAATTATTCAATGGGAACTCTTATCTTTCCCCACACACTTTTAAACTATACTCCCTCTTGAAAACATGTAAGCTAGTCACTTCATGCCCTTTTCACCCCCTCTTTTTTAGGTAGTCAATATCAAAGTTGTCTGTCCCTATCTATCCTGTATACAGAGGTGATAGCATTGATGGTGGTGGTGGTGGTTATGTGCCGTGGAGTTGGTTCCAACTCATAGTGACCCTGTACAGGGTTTCCGAGGCTGTAAATCTTTACGGGAGCAGAATGCCTCATCTTTCTTCTGCGGAACAATTGGTAGTTTAGCACTGCTGACCTTGAGGTTCGCAGCCCGATTCATAACTGCTATACTGATGTGAACACTCCTTCCCTCTCTGTTGGTATTTTGAGCTACTACATCCATGACTATACAATTTCATCAGATTTTTGCAAGTTACCCTAAATTTCCGTTATCAAAAATTGTTATTTATCTTCTTCTAGGCGAGTTCTGATTATCAAGTCATCAAGGCTAGGACTAATGGTTACTAACTCTTCTTATTTTTTAATGACTAATTTTATTGGAGTATAATCTCCATGAAAAAAATAAAATACACTCACCTTTAAGTGCACAGGTTAATGACTTTTGATACATTTATTTAACCATTGGTTAAATTAAGGTCTGGATGTATTCATCAAGAGTTTGCTCATGACTCTATGCAGTCATTCCTTTCTTCTTCGGCTCCAGGCAACACTAATCTGCTGTCACTATGTCAGTTTTGCTTGATTTAGAAAGTCATTTGAATGGAATAATATAGTATGTGTTCTTTAAGGTCTGGCTTCCTTCTTTTAATATAGAGTTTCTGAGAATTATCCATGTTGTTTTGTGTTAGAATAGTTTCTTCCTTTTTTTTTTTTTTACAGAATAGTATTTCATTGCATGATTATACCATAATTTGTTTATTAATTTTTCTTGTAATGGATATTTAGATTATTGCTAGTATTGTGTCATTATTAGTAAAGTTGCTGAGCATTTTAATTTGCATGGACATATATTTTAATTCTTCTTGGATAAATATCCCATTGTGGAATTGTTAGGTGCAATGCTAACTGTCTGTTTTTAAGAAACTGACAAACTGTTTTACAAGGCGTATTAATTTACACTTCTTCATCAACATTTGAAACATCTTGTTACTCTATATTATCACAGAATTCAGTATTGCAAGCCCTTTAATTTTAGTCACCCTAGTGGTTTGTTGGAGTGTGGTGCTGTGGGGTAAATGCACTGGACTGCAAGGTTGGTTTCCCTTGCATATAAAATAGACACTTGAGGGGGAGAGAAAGGAATAGCCAGAAATATCACCATAGAAAGCTTGTAAGTCTGTCTTCTGCCTATAACTGATTGGAATACTTCAAATGGGGTTACAATGTGCCCAGTGAAGGAGGCTTCCTGTGGAGCGTCTGCACTACATAAGACCATAGGGGGAATCCTGACGCCCCTCCAGAATCTTCTGAGGGGGGAAATTTCCACTTGAAAGGACGAGCAGACCAGCCTGGAGTGGTTAGAAGAACAGAAGATACTTCTTGAAAGAAAGACCAACAGGAAAAATACAAAACAATAATAGCAGTCCGACTGACTACTACAAGGATAAGCAAGTTATCCTCCCAGGAGACATCAAGGCAAGTGGTTAGGTCCCCTCAGGGCAGATCCCCTTCCAAGACTAATACTCAATGGGAATACATGAGCAGACATGTGCTCTGACTGGTGACCATATTGGTCACCGATAAGGCCAGTAATAAGGAAGACCATAGAAGAATTGATGCTTTTGAGTTATGGTGTTGGAGGAGAATATTGAAAGTGCCATGGGCTGCCATCAAACCAACAGGTCTGTGTTGGAAGTAGTGCAGCCAGAGTGCTCCTTAGAGGCCAAGATGGCTGAACTTCATCTCTCATACTGAACTTCATCTCTCAGGTTGTCAAGAGGGATCAGTCGTTGGAGAAGGATATCATGTTTGGTAAGGTGGAGGGTCAGAGAAAAAGAGCAAGACCCCCCAACAAGATGGATTATATCTTGATGAATATATCCAGACCTTAATTTAACCAATGGTTAAATAATAAGTGGTAGCATCAGTGGGCTCAAACGTGGCAACAGTAGTAAGGTTGGCCCATGATTGGGCAGTGTTTCATTCTGACTGTGCATAAGGTTGGTAGGAGTCAGCATCGACTCGATGGCACCTAACAACAACAACAATTTCACTCAGTGTAATATCCTCTAGGTTCATCCATGTTATGCATTAGCTTTTAACTTCGTTATTCTTTTAGGTAGCATAATATTCCATTGTGTGTATCAAAGTTTGTTTTCCATTCTTCCATTGATGGGCACTTAGGCTGTCTCCATCATTTTGCTATTGTGAATAGTGTTGCGATAAACATTGAAGTGGATATATCTATTCGTGTTCTGGCTTGTATTTCTTGTGGAAAATATATACCAAGTATAGGGGATCTTAAGATATTTCTATTTCCAACTTTCTGAGGACGCGCCATACTGCTTTCCAGAGTGGCTGAACTATTTTACATTCCCACCAGCAATGTAGGTGGGTCCCAGTCTCTCCACATCATCACCACCATTCATTATCGTCTGCTCTTTTGAACTTCATTGTTATTGCTGGTGTGAGATGATATCTCATTTATGTTTTGATTTGCATGTCTCTAATGGCTAATGATCATGAACATTTCTTCATATGTTTGTTGGCTGCCTGGATCTCTTCCTTGGTGATGTGTCTGTTAATGTCCTGTGCCAATTTTTTAATTGGGTTATTTGTCTTTTTTTTGTAGAGGTGTTGTAGTTTCTTATAGTTTTTATAAATTAGCCCCTTGTCTGATATGTCATTGCAAAAGATTTTTTCCCATTCTGTGGGCTCCTTTTTTACTCTTTTGGTGAAATCCTTTAATGCACATAAGTTCCTAATTTTTAGTATGTCCCTATCATCTATTTTGTTTTCTTTTGTTTGTGCAATTTTTGCAATGTTTGGTAGTCTCTGTGTGAACTTAATTTTGTCCCTATTTTTTCATTGATGACCTTTATAATTCTGGGATTCACATTTAGGTCTTTAATCCATGCTGGTTGGTTTTGTATATGGCGTGAGATAAAAGTCTTGTTTTAATCTTTTGTATATGGGTTTCCAGTTTTGCTAGCACCATCTATTGAAGGGTCTGTCTTCTCCCTATTCAATGTACTGTGGCCCTTTGTCGAAGAACAGTAGGCTCTATGTGGATGGGTTAATTTCTGGATTTTCAATTATGTTCCATTGATCTATGCATCTTTCATTGTACTAGTACCAAGCTGTTTTGACCACTGTAGCCACGTAGTACATTTTGAAATCAGGGAGTGAGAGGCTTTCAACTTGGCTCTTCTTAAGCAGTGCTTTGATTATCCAGAGACTCTTTCTTTCCATATAAAATTTGTAATAGTTTTTTCCATCTCTCTAAAGAATGTTGTTGGAAACTAGATTGAGGTGTTATGTCTGTAGATTGCTTTGGGTAGTGTTGACATTTTCACAACGTTAAGCCTTCCTATCCAGGAGCATGATATATTCTTCCATTTTTGTAAATCTCTTTTAGTTTCTTGCAGATTGTTTTTTAGTTTTCTTTGTATTTTTTAATTTTGCTTCTCTGGTTACATTTATTCCTAAATATTTCATCCTTTGGGTGGCTATTGCAAATGGTATTGCTTTCCTAATTTCCTTTTCATTGCTGTCATTATTAGTATAGAGGAATCCTACTGATTATTATATGTTGATCTTGTACCCTGTCACTTTGCTGAATCTTCCAATTCATTCTGG